CTCTACCACTTGAGCCACAGCACCACTTCTGGCTTTTTTCTTTTTGTTTATGTGGTACTGAGGAATCGAACCCAGGGCCTCAGGCATGCAAGGCAAGTGCTCTACCACTGAGCCACCTTCCCAGCCCCAGACTTTGGGATTTTTTGAAATGTCTTCCAGTTTGGACCCCAATTGTGAAAAGCACATTTGAGACGTAGCAAGTTTGTAATGACAAAATATACAAGAAAGTTATAAAAGTATTTTATTGAAATTTAATCAATTTCCATTTGGTCCTATAATCCAACAGACCTGCTAGGATGGGGTGCACAGTCATTCCAGAACCTGGGGTAAAGGCACAGGACACCAGAATTCCTTTACACACACCCAGTCATTTCACACCAGAAACAACTTAAAACTGTGGGAGCACACTATGCCCAAGATTCAAACAGATGAATCTTGCAAAACAAGATTATTTCTGTATAATACAAACTCCTATGATATTCAAGAATCACTTGAGTTTGAGAAATATGCAAGTGAACTAGAATTTATTCTGATTTCAATTGAATGAATCTACCCAGCCCCAAATTTTCACCACTCACGCAGTGGGTACAAACAAGAGCACATTGGAGCCTTCCGTGTCCCTGTGATGCTCCAGCCAGCGGAGGGGCCTTCAGTCTGAAAGAAAAGAGTATTTCTGTCCCTCAGCTCATGAGTAAACATTAAAAAGCACAGTGTAATCTAAACACCTCTGCCACCAATCACCAACCCAGGGGGGTAGGAAGTCATGTAGGAAACGTAAATTCAGTAGCCCCCAAAGGGGAAGGATGGGGGTCGGGGTCACCTGTATTGAGACCCACGCACTACTTGAGATGACACAGGTGCCCAGGGACCAGAAGTCAGCCTGCATCAGGCACTTGGGACCCTCGACAGCGCATGTCTGGAGAACGCTGTCCATATCGGCATGGCACAGGGCATTAGCAACCACTGAGAGCCTGGAGCAGTAGGTCCACATCCATCTCCTTCACCCGGCCACAGGCAGCCCGCGCTGCTGGTCAGCTGCAATGTCCATCTCCTCCAGGTCTGTGGACGCTGGTGTGGGTATCACTTTCCATACACAGCAGCTTGCGAACGGCCCCGGGAGTGCCACTGCCACCACTGTCCTCTCGCCACCCCTCAGTCCCGGTGCCTGCTCATGCCTGCGGTGCTGCCTTCACGTGCAGCTTAGCTGCCACTGGGAAAGCAGACCACGCACAGGGCGGGCGGTCTGCTGGGACATAGGAATCCTCTCACTGACATGAGAAAAATAAAGGTTGGCATGTCATCCATTGCGTTTCTTATTGGAACGTGGCAGAACCAGGTCCCGCAACTGCTCAAGAGCATGCAGTGTCTTCAGTCGTTGCTGTGCAGGCTGAGAGAAGCGGACGCCCTGTCTCAGGTGCGTGACATGATCTACACGGAGCAGTGCCCAGACAGTCATCATGGGGGCCTTCCTTACAGAAGGACGGAGCTCTGTTCCTTTCCCCTCAGAGTTCACCCAGCGCTGCTGCTGGGGCAGACAGGCTGGGGTCATTCACAGGCAGCCTGTGGTCCCTGCACAGAGCACCAGGGACCTTACCTTCAGAGATCAGCCAAGGAGTGAGATGAGCATCACCACCCCCATGAACTGCGTGAACAGCACCAGGGGAGTGAAGAACGACCACACATTCCACAGAGCGATGTTGAAGCTGAAAAGCACCAAACACACACCTTCAATGACTCAATTAGACATGGAGAACCGAGAGGTAAAGAGCTCAACTGGACGCCACTCTTCCAGACCACTTCTTTCTTTTTTCTTTGTTTGTGCTGGTCCTAGGGCTTGAACTCAGGGCCTGAGAAATATTCTGGAGCATTTTTACTCAAGGATGGCATCCTACCACTTGAGCCACAGCTCCGCTTCTAGCTTTTGGCTAGTTAATTGGAAATAAAGAGTCTCATGAACTTTCTTCCCTGGGCTAGTTTCAAACTGCAATCCTCAGATCTCAGGATTATAGGCATGAGCCACCAATACCTAGTTTTGATCCCAACCATGCTTTCTATATACAACAATTTCTTAGCCATGAGGCTTGGCCAATGTTGGAAAGAAAAAAATGTACACACACTGAGCAAACTTGTACAGCTTGCCCCAAGTTCCCGGGATGGAGTCACTAGAGGGAGCTGGCATAGCTTAACAGAAATGAGGTTACGCCTCAAAGCCAGGGTGGGCAATGAATCAAGAATTATGACCGTAGCCTGCCTTTATGACCACACACACTACCAAACTACTTTGGCCCAAAAGAGAGACAAAAGCATTTCCTTGTAAATAATGAAAAATGTAATCATTTGTAAGATGCTATTCAATTTTTCAAGAAAAACAATTCCTGTACCAAATTAAAATAAAACCTTATGACTGAACTATAAGAAGTTATTAGAAAGCATTGTAAATGTTCCATGCAGTTATTCATTTTAATACTTAATAGACCAATAAATACCAATGTTAAGAAGCCACCATCGCACAGAGGGGCCTTGGTCATAGGACGAGATGTGGTACACACGTGTGCCCACAGCACTGACAGGCTAGCAATAACCACACCATAATGTCAAACATCCTTTTTTGGGGGGGTTGGTCACAGGGCTTGAACTCTTGGCCTGGGTGCTGTCCCTCAGCTCTTCAGCTCAAGGCTAGCACTCTACCACTTGAGCCACAGTGCCACTTCAGGTTTTCTGAGTGGTTTATTGGAGATAAGAGCCTCTCAGCCTTTCCTGGTCTTTCCTGCCCAGGCTGGCTTTGAACCGCAATCCTCAGATCTCAGCCTCCTTAGTAGCTAGATTACAGGCGTAAACCACCACACCTGACTCAAACATCCTTAAATTTTCACTGAAATTAAGTCACAAAAAGCACATTTAAACTGAGTGTGTATAAAGGTGTACAGCTTTCCCAAAATAAAATTCAATAAGTATAAAGAAAGGAAAAAAACCTGAAAACACACACACAAATAAACTCTTAGAATGTCTCAAACATTAAAAAAAAACCTGAAGAGTTCTACAGTATGTGAAGTGCAGTATTCTCTGACTGGTGGATTGTGGGATATATTTATCTTCTGATTTGCAGATTCACCTTCAGTGAGCGAGAATTACTTTTTTATTCACTCATAAAAACCTGGTTTTCTCATTGAGTCGTTAGTTTATGAAGATGGATAGTCACTGGGACACTGATTCACTGAGAAAAAAATGACTGCACGTGACCACAGGGAGCTGGTGATGCAGGCCCGATGTGAGCATGCTCGGAGGCTGCAGTGCTACTTAAGAGGGGCACACTGATATCCATCATTATGTGCTAACATGGACAGTGCAGCAGGGAGGAGCAAGGAAAATGGAGTTAGCCCTGGGGAGTCCCTGGGGAGCCATCCCAGGAGCTCCAGATCACAAGCTGCATATGCGATTACTCACAGGGCACAGGGTTTGCATGTAACCTCCACGTACTCATGTGCACTTCAATCTAACACCATGTAAATAGCTATTAGGCTGTACTGTTCAGAGGATGATGACAAGAGAACGCGGCTGCAGATGAAATTAGGTATTTTCTAGTCAGTGATGGTTTTATCTATGGATGTAGAACCCAGGAATGCAGAGGGCCAGCGATACAACCCTTCTGGAACAGTCTGGCACTGTGTACTGAAGTTCTATATGCGCACCTTCAGAAAGCTGACAGAGACATATGCACACTCAGTGCCACAAGACAGAGAGATGAACAAGAGTGTTCTCAACAGTATCCTTTCTAACTACTTGCTGCAAATAGCTCATACACATCAACAACAGAATGAACAAGCGGGGACTCAGTTATACATAGCGATGAACAGCCACAGGGATAAACTAGCACAAACCACACACAGTGTTACACGTACACATGTGCTGCATAATCCACTTCCCTGTAAGTTCAAAAAATATACCAAGTGAAGGCAGCATTTAAGGGATGTGAAAGGAACTATCAGGAAGGCTGGTAGGAGGGAGGGACCAACGGCAATCACCTGTGGCAGGTAATGGAGGAGCAGTTCTTTCTTGACTCAGTGAGATTTATACCAATGCTCATTTTGTGAATACAGTTTATTCAGTGCTATCTTTGCTTCTGAATATATTGTTCACCACATTTTTGCATATATTGTGCATCACAATAAAAAATATCTTAAAAGCATAAGATGCATACAGAATGTGACCATTTGTGTATTAAATAACCAGCTACGTGAAGAGGGAGACAAACCAGCTGAAGAACATGAAAGCTAGGAGACTACTTTTCTATGAGACTTTGCTTCTTCTTTTGCATTTTGGAGCCTGGTCATCATTACTGACCACACAAGAAAACTGGGGTCCACTCAACTTACCAAACTCCTGATGCAATAAATGTGGCAGTTGTAACAGGTACCAACGTTGGATACTTGGCGTCATATTCTTTAATTCCATGGTACCACTCCAGATAGAGAATGCAGTACAGTGCAACGGATAAGCTGATCAGCAACAAGGCCCCTCCAAAGAGAAGCCAGCTGTGCAGAGGAAGACCAAGACAACATGAGTGTTAATAGAGACTGGTAGATGGAGAAGCAGACAGCTCAAGTTTTGTTAAGAACCCACAGTCTGCTTCTAAGAACATCAACTGGAGAAAGGTGCAGAGGGGCCCACAATTTCATAGTCTCAGCTTTCAGTCTCAATCTGTTAGGAGAGGAGGGTGGGGAAAAAAATGTATACACGAGTGAGAGGACAAAAAAGTCAAACTTTGTTTATTTATTGTCAGTGTGGTGCTTAAACTCAGGGCCTGGGGCTGTCCCTGAGCAATTTCCCTCAATGCTACCACTTTGAGCCACAGCTCCACTTCCAGTTTTCTAGTAGTTAAATGGAGACAAGAGTCTCAAGGACTTTCCTGCCCAGGCTGGCTACAAATGATGTTCCTCAGATCTCAGCCTCCAGTGTATCTAGGATGACAAGTGTGAGCCACTGGCACCCAGCTAAAAGTTAGATTTTATATTCATGCACACATATACATTTTCATAAACCAACCAACCATGAATGAACCCTGGCCACAGCAATGTAAGAACACCAGTTTTCCAGTTTGTCCGAAAAGTCTGAGTGTGAGAATCATAAAGATCTTCTTCACAGATCTTTAACTCCTCCAGGGTAAAGTTCCTTAGAATACTGAAAATCATTTTAGGAAGACTATAAATTCTCATAAAAGACACCTGCACCGCTAGTCATAGGGTGACTCATGCCTACAATTACAGCAACCTGGGAGGCTGGGATTGTCAGGATTGCATTTCAAGACCAGCCCAGGCAGAAACACCAGGTGTGCCTGTTATCCTAGATGCCAACACTGCTTCCTTTCCTGTTGCCTGAGGCCTTCACACCGTTCTCTACTGTAAAACCATGAGGTGTACTTCTGTTCTACATCAACTTGAGATCAGACCAAAGGGGTGTCAGTGAAGTAAATGAGAGACTGTATTATGGCCACAAAGCTTGACTCCTCCTCCCACTGGTGAATTTTATTGCAACTCTCAGTTACACCCTAGTTGTTGTACTCTTGAAGTTGTAACTACTCTGAAACACACCCTGAGACCAGCCACACCAGCTGTCACTGGCCAGGCTTCTCACTCCCTCCTCCCAGTTCTCTAGCACTTTGTCCTCACAAAGACTATCAGTCCTCTTCCTTGCTTCCATGTTCTCCAAATGGATTGAGTTTCTTAATTACCTTCCGCACCCTACAACAGTAGTTCTGAAAAAGCACTCAAATGACTTCCAGCTCTCATCCACTGTTATGTATGCCCAGAGCACACACACACTTAGTTATCTTCTTTTTCTCACCCTTCTGAAGCATAACTGACAAATTCAAATTGTATACATTCAATGTATACAACATGATTTAACTTATATATAACATTTAAGTTCTACTCAGTA